GCAGCACCACATGCGAGGAAAACACTCTGCGCTCCTTCCGCCTTCCTTACACGCCGCCCAAAACGTACGTGACACACGACCCCTAGAGGCGCCTCCACCATAGACCTTGCATGTAAACCGGCCGCTCCTGCAGCWCAAAACTTGTTCGGTGTGAACGTAGCATTAGAAATCGCGCTGAGGCCAGCAGGAGTCCATRTCCTGACTTGACATTTACAAATGCTGGTTGGAGAAGTAAAACAAAATGATCCTGATCTTTAATGAATTGAAATGGCAGGTCATGGAGGGGGAAACCAGAACCATGCACCAGAGATTGTGACATTTGTTCATCTTTACAGCATATGGCMGTGTTAACATGATTACATACTGCAGGAAGTGTTTATAAGCAGTGTTGAGGATGGTGAAACAGCGTGGAGAGGTCAGAGAAGCTCAGCTCCTGACAGTTTGTGGGTTGGAGGTCAGAACTGGAAGAAGAGTTGGACCRAAATTAGCTCCATGTTTGTTTCTCTTGCCTTTTCTTAYGTGTGAAGAAACTAAAACAGTTTGGTAGTTCATAGGACTGACGGGAAACAGTGTTTTTACCAGTGTTGTACAAAGTACCATAAAGTGATACTTGAGTAAAAGTACAAGTATGTTACCAAAAAAATACTTTTAGGAATATTACTTGAGTAAAAGTCTTTAAGTCTCTGATATTTGTTGTACTTAAGTATTAAAAGTAAAAGTATTTATTTAAAATGAGCAGTTAGATTTTCTGTAAGGACATTTATAAGGAGGTGACCTAAACAAAAACTGCAGAAATGACTGTTGTATTAAAATAAAGTACTTTTATTTGAATGATTCTGTCCTGCTGGAGTGACATGATTTGTTTGTGTACAAACTAATACACTATCAGAGTTTTATATATTTATACTTCTCATTCAACCACAGTTAAATTCACTCTATCTAGGAGGCTCAGTTTAAATGGATAGTTTTTATTTTTTATAACAAGCTGGAATGAAAACAAGAAAAAATGAATTAAAGTAACGACTTTATACTTCTTGTCTTTTTTTAAAAAATGTAGTGAGTAAAAAGTACAGATAATTGTGTGAAAATGTATGAAGTAGAAGTAAAAAGTAGGTTGAAAAATAATTAATCAAGTAAAATACAGATACCTAAAAGTTTTACTTAAGTACAGTAACAAAATATTTGTACTTAGTTACTTTACAACTCTGGTCTTTACCTTATTTTACTGCATCCCTCGCAGTTCAGTGGTTAAACTCTTCCACAAAAATAAAAGTAAAGCAAACATTCAGTTTGTTATTGGCTGTTCTTGTGAGTAATATCTGATTTATGGTAAGTCTGACACTCATTTATTGTTCCTAAAATAGATACTGKATGTTGTTGCTAAGGTGTCAAACAACTCTTGCTTCTCCCCCTGCAGCCTTCTCTTCATCCATGACTGTTTTTTGTTTTTAAGGCCGCCAACTATTTGGACATCAAAGGCCTGTTAGACGTCACCTGCAAGACAGTGGCCAACATGATTAAAGGCAAAACCCCGGAGGAGATCAGGAAGACTTTCAACATCAAAAATGATTTTACAGAGGAAGAGGAAGCCCAGGTATTTATTCCAGGGGAAAAAAAAAAACATGATTTCATTTAAAAGTGATGAAAGCTTTGAGACGTGATCTGCTAAACACCTGTTTTCTCCCAACAGGTACGCAAAGAGAACCAGTGGTGTGAAGAGAAATAAAAGGGGATGGTCCTGCCAACACTACCACACTGAAAAGGCTCGTCCCCGCTGACTGGTTGCACTGGCGTTTGTTCATACTTGTTAATATTTACTTTTAGTATATATTTGCCCACTAGTTTGCCCTGATTTCTGTGTACCAATAAAAGCATGACCATTTAAACTTCCCTGTATGGTGTCATTAACTTAAAGCTAAGATACTGGTTCCTGTTTTTACACAATATATTGTGCGTCAACATAATATATACAGTTTCACGTCTTTGTACCACCCCACAAAAATCGATTTTGTCTTTTTAGATTTCTTCAATTTAATTGCTTTTTTTATTTTAAACTGAAGGTGTTTTTTCTTTTAGTTTCACTGAATTAAATAAAACGACTTTGGAAAAATGAGGGTGAATGTTATTCTTACTCTGTAAATGTACGTTTTTGTGAAATTATGTATAAGACGAACTGTTAAAGTGAAGTTTATCTTCCGTTATGCAGAGTTGAGTACATTAATGTTTGGCTTTGGAAACGTAGATAAGCTTTTTTTTTTTTTGTTTTTTTTGGAAATGATCAAACACATTTGAAGGAGTAAATAAAACTTATTGAATGAACAGTGTGTCATTGTTGTATTGAAATCAATTATAATTCTGAAATTTTGAAGCCATGAAAGAGAAATTCAAAAACACTTTTATTACATTAAAACAAARTCAGGAATTCAAAGATACAAACTTGTTCTGCACGAACCTCAGAATGAAAGTTTAACACAAGAGCTCCCTCTGCTGGAGCAAAACAACAGCAGCTCAGCCCACTTTTTCTGGTTCAAAGCTGAGTTTGAAGATGCAACCGAACAAATTATATAAATGCAACAATAATGTTGGAACATGCACAGATATAGTTTGAACACTTGACTCGGAAAGAAAAAAAATCTGCACAAACACAAAACACTGCTTTTAGAAAAAGGTCAAAACTATAAGAATCTGCTCAATCTTTTTAAAAGTCATTTAACTTTTTTTTTTTTTTTACTTTTCATAAAAACATACAAAAGTTCAATAATATAAAACTTTACAACACAATGCAATATAATAGTACCCATTTGGTCTCAGATTAGTTTGGAGAACTGCAGAAAAATCAACGGAACAAAGAATAAACAGACGAGAGATTTAAAAACCTCACTCTTCTCTTTGAGAAAAAAAAACATTTGACACTAAAAATTACGAGTTGTACACAAAAAAACAAAAAGGTATAAAAACAGCTGGCGCTGGATAGTCTAAAAGTGCCTAAAAGAAGGGATTTGGGATTTTTTTATTACCTGCTTTAATGAACAATTTGTGTAACTTAAAAAAATAGAATAATTTCTTTCTGAAATGGTCAGGTTGGGTGGTTGTTGATCGCTGCTTTTCACATTTTTGAATTCAGTCAGTTATAGAGATTTTTTAAAAGTTTGTCATAATACAATCCAGCTCATCTTTTACCAGGATAGTTTCTTTCATTACAAACATCTTTGCAAAAACTTGATTGTCATGAAGCAGAAAATCAGCAGCAACTGTTTGTAGTAATTTCCTGTCACCGATAAGTGAAGGCAGATGATGTTTGTTAGCAAAATATCTTCTGAACAAGTAGATTTGAATAACATTTTAAGAACGTAATCATTGGATTCAGTTAAAATGAAGACAGACACGGAGCTAAAAGTGATGTGAACTCTCATTTCTCATCAAAGGTTGAYTTTATGGCTAAAACTAAGAAGAGGTTGGTTTATTTAATGTCAGGTGTTTGAATCCACACAGACTCTGCTGCAGTCTTGTAATCCTGCGGCTGCAGGTTTGAGTCCAGGTTGCATCAGGAAGAGGGCGTCTGGTGTAAAATAACTGGCAAATCCTGTRTGCAAGCTCGTTTCCACTCCTGAAGAAGAGGAGTAGCCAAAGGAAAACCAAACCGCAGCAAAAACGGTCCATCTTACCAAGTTTTAAAACCTTATATCAGAAATTTTGATTTAATTTGAGTCAAATTTTCAGACTAACAAGACAAATAATCTTACACATTCTGAAAACAAGATGATTATTCTTACACAATCATTTCTTGTTTAGTAAATCAGTCTCAAAACAAGATCAAAAATAATTTTTTGGCTGAAATAAGATTTTAAAAYTTGGTTAGGTGGACAGTTTTTGCAGACTTTGGTGCTGCTGGATTCAGCTTTAGTGAACCTGCAGGTCTTCTAAAAACAACAACCTGGTAAAAATGTGATGAAAACATTTATGTGTTCGGGGAGGACCGAGGGTTTTGCTTGAGGAAGTGTTAAAATGCAGCAGCGACACTGTTCCATGTGAGAATGAAGGCAGGTGAGGAGGAGGAGGACAGGAGGCTGAGGCGAGCGGCGGGAGCCACGTGAACCATCAGTGAGTCTCTGTCAGCACTTTGAGCGACAGTCCTGCCACCTTGGCGGCGGACAGCACCGTGGAGCAGAGCGTCTGCTTGCCGGACAGTTCCAGGTGTGTGTGAGCGCGTCTGGCCGCGGGCGGGCCGAGGTCCGCCGCCCGCTTGCCGGCGGGCTGCTCCGGGGCGAAGCGTGCGTGCGAGCGGGTGTGCGGAGAAAAGCGGAGGCGCGTCGGCGGGGAGGTGGGCGGCGGGGAGCAGCCCGGGGAGGGGGGCCGCTGGTACAGGCGGTGGCGTGCAGGAGAAGGGGAGGGGGGAGAGTCTATAGCACTTAGATCTGAAGAAGCTGGGCTGGGGCAGCCTCCTCCTTGAAGGTAGCGAATGCACTTCTTTTTCCTCCTAGGAACAGTCAGAGAGAGTTATCTGTGAATAAAGTGTGGATGGGAAATGTCAGCAGGCTTCAGTGCAGATGCAGAATCACACTGAGGTCAATGAACATGAAGACAAACAGGATCGGAACAAATCACTAATGTTTAGTCAGTTCTACACAATATCCACTCTTTGTGTCCGTTTAAAGCAGGGCTCTRCAACCTTTATGATCAAARGAGCCATTTCTGCTCCTTGTCTCACTAATAAAATGTGTTCAGAGCCGCAAAACAAGCTACAACTGTGATTATCAACTGGTGGTCTGTGGGCCTTTTCAAGGCCCTTTTGGGAACCTTTACGGTCAGTGGAGGTGACATTATAAAACTAAAAATATTATATATTGTAATATTGTTATTATTATTGTATTATTTATAATTATACACATCAGGACAAATAAAAATACCATATTCATGTAATATTCATGTATTTGGCTATTTCTCCATATACAACTTTTAGACTTAATCCTCATTTCGATGTAATGGGTCACATATTTGAATTTTAAGATTTTACCAGCTGGAAAACAAAAAAAAGAAGCTTTGCTGTCTTGCAGGGAAAATGACAACAATTTAAGTATTTTTTTTAACTTAAAATCATGTTTTTTGTTGCTACTGCTCATAAAGAAGCTTCTTTAAGATTATCGTTTAAATATTTATATTCAATTTATTTAATGGTTTTTAACCTTTTAACCAGCTGCCTACTGCTCCACACACCACTTTCTGACTTAATCCTCAATAAATTAAGCATCTAAGCGAGGAGATTTAATCAGCCATAGAGTCTCCTTTAACAAAAAAGCAGCACAGACTTTGTATTATATGTGTATTATATGTGCATTATATGTGTATTATATGTGTATTATATGTGTATTATATGTGTATTATATGTGTATTTTATGTGTATTATATGTGTATTATATGTGTCAAATGAAAGCGTGCCGTGTTCTCCTGCTCTGAAATCAACTCAGAGGAGCTGGTTGAGCTGGTTGCACTGTGTTCTACTTAAAAGCAGACTTGTGCACCGCTGAGTGCAGCATCAAAGCAGTTAGCAGGATCCTGTGATCATCACCAGAACATGATATGAGTCACCAGGTTTAACCACAAGGAAAGGCACTGGGCCATATTTAGATTGATAAAGGGAGAGAGGGGGAGGAAGGCTGCGATAGAAAGTGATTTCTAAATGTCAGAGTTCACCATCAAAAGCCAGCCGTCACCACATCGCATGAATGGAGAAAGTTGAAAGCAGATGGGCCTGAGAACGCTGTCGAAAAAAACAAAACAAAACCCAAAAACGCAACGCTGCAGGGAGCGCGAGTGTGTTTATGTGTGTGTGATAAGGATTTGCTCAAACCGCAGTCAGCCCYCTTTGTTCTCTCAAAACGAAACACTCAGATTTCCATGACGCGATAGCGRGGAAGACGACGGAGCTGTTCCAGAGCTGCGGTGGCAGAAAAACACAGATCCTGACTCCTGCAGCAGAGGGAGGCGGTGACGGACCTCCACCTTCTGCTTCACTCACAAACACACAACCTGATGCAACTGTGAGGAAACGTTGGATTAGAGCTCATCTTGTTAATCCGTTCAGTGCTGCTGCTAGAAGCTAGAAGAAYGTTTCTGATACACTTGGTAGGTGACAATAGATTCACTCTAACACTGATCCAACATKTATCTGATGTAATCCAAGGCACAACAAATGCCGCAAAGATCCCAGATTAGCCAAGAAATCCAAACTTCTACACTTTGAACATTACAATTATTACAAAATAATCCAAGCGCTGCTCCGGATTTGACATCAGAAGCAGAGGCTGTTAGAAATAATCTGATGATGGAAAATTAAAAGCCTCCTTGACAGAATGGAATGAAGGATTCAGTTTTATTTAAAATCTATAAACTAGTAAAAAAAACATGATAAAAGTGCACAAATGAACCCGTTGAACCTGTTATGATGTTGATGTTCACTACTTTTAAATTGATGCTAAACTGAATTTTAAAGCACAACWCTTGAGTGTAGCTTTTCTTTTTAGAGTGGTGTGTCACTGAGACTAGTTTTCCTGTTGAAGTCTCTGATTTTGGAGCATTTCTGTGTGTCTACATGTTTTAAAAGTCACGGCTTATTTATGTGTGCAGAGCTGCATTCTAGGCCGTGCTCTTTTATTTTGTTGAGCTCAGTGTCTAAATACGCCGGCGCTCGAGACGGGTTTGATATGCCCATGTAGGGCTGCAACAATCAATCGACAAAATCGATAAAAGTCGATTACTAAAAGCGTTGGCAACGAATTTCATTATCRATTCGTTGTGTCACGGGATTTATGCTTCCCTTGCCGTGTCGCAGAGTCGATTACGTCACCCACAGAGCGTCGTCACTGCTGGCTGACCTAAATAAAGTTTAAGAAGAAAAAAAAACTACCTGTAAAGRGCYGCCCTCTCTAACACTYGAGTGAAAAGTAGAGACTWCRAACTTTAAACCAGTTTTTAAATCGTGTTGTTAGGCCAAGTAGATCCAAAGATATGATAAAAAGTATCTGCTACATTTATTCTTTTTAAAAGACGTCTGATTTGATGCGCGCTGCGTCGTGAGGAGGAAGTGCGTGCGGGGGAGGAGGGAGACCTTAAATCCACCGTTTTGTCCTCCTCTTGGACCAAAAGTATAAAAACTCTCCAGTTTTTTATGACTGAGGCTCAAAGTTATTTGTTGAGCAGCAAAACGGTTCAGGACGAAGGAAAAAAAAAAAAGACGAGAGCAGCAGGTCTGCAGGGAGGTGTGTGTGTGTGTGTGTGTGTGTGTGTGTATGTGTGTGTGTGTGGGGGGGCTGCTTCTGAACTGTTTTTATTGGGTCAAACAATGTTTTAGTCAAACAGAACCAACAAGAATGAAACAAAAATAGTTTTACATCTAAAAATCATATTTTATTCTTTTAATCTATTTTCCTCATTCAGCAACCTATTAAATTTCTGTCATGTTTCATGTAGGAGAAATACACATTGTTTCAGTCAGTATTTAATACAGCTGGCAAAATAAATTGTTAAAATATGTATTATGTGCTTCTGTTTTTTTAATTCAGGAGATTATTTTAAAAAATCCTTCATTTTATGGGAAGACCCTCTTGATTCAAGAGAAAACTGCTTTTTTAAAAATTGTTAATCAATCTATAAGATAAATCAACTTCAGATTAATTCATTATCAGTAACGTGCATCCTTAAGGAGTTAACTTAATTTATATCTACTCATATTCATGTAATTAAGCGTTTTAATGATTTGGCCGATTAATCGATTAATCGAAAAAATAATCAACAGATTAATCGATTATTACAATAATCGTTAGTTGCAGCCCTATGCCCATGACAAACATGTCGACTATTTAGAGAGAGAATTCGTTACACGATTATTTTGAACTTGCTCTAAGTTCGAGAGATGAGACTGAGAGATAACAAACTTATGCAACGAAACTGAGAATCCTAAAAACACCTGAAGACATTTTGGAGACTCCCTCAAGTCTGCGATRTCGAGTATTTAGGTTTTGATTCAATATCAGTGACATATTTTACTGACAGAAGATTTGTTTTTTTGCACAAATGCCATTTTCCTAATGTTTCACTTAACAAACAGTTGCTTTGTTTTTCTTGCTACTAATACTTCAGGAGGTTAGAGACAGACAGCATGCAAAGCTCAGGGTGAACTGTGAAAAGAGACTCGCACATAGATGAGGCGCGGGAAATTTCACCACCAAGACAAACAGGACAAACGACGAGGCGGAAACAAACAAAGCTATCCTAACAGAAATCAGAACTACAGGGTTGAATGGGTGGTCACCCCAGTGAGTTAGTGGGCCTGCTTCTACAGAGTTGGTGGACGTTCGGTACACACCTGCAAGGACCGCACCAGTCCGTTTGTTGGTTGAGGCCGAAGCGAGCCCGGCACTTCTTAGGGGAGCCCGGGTCTGAGCACAACAAACAGCATGCACAAAAACAGGAAAAGACAAACAAAAAAACAAGAGAGGAACAAAGGAGGGAGGGAAAAAAGTTAAAGGATGAGGACACAGACAGAAAGAAGTCTCATCAGGGCAGAAAAAAAGCATCAACGCAGCCGTCTGCTTAGAAAAAGCCATCGAGGAAAACTGTTAGTGGACTGTTGCACAACGCAGCGTCAGCAAACATCAGCTCAGTTAAAACCACGCAGAGAGAGGAAAGCAGCCATGCTGGGACACTCTGTTAGTACATTTAATAAAAAAGGTCTTTCTTTTCTTCAGAGAACTGTTATTCTTTCTTAAAGTTTCCAACTCATAAATACATTTTTAATTAGATTTTTAACACACATCTAATAGTTCATCACTGAGTTAACTCTTGTAGAGTTCTCTCTGTTGTGTCTAGAAAAAGTATTCACCTCCTGAATGTTTCCACATTTTGCCTTGTTCCAACAACAAAACTATTTTATAACCTAACAGTTTTAAACTTCTTAGTAGTTTTTTAGTGATCTGCCTGGTGTGTTCCTTGGTTTTCATGATGCAGTTTGATCACAAATGTTCGGCAACAAACGTCACAATCAGCTGTGATTAGGATGAGATAATACCAATATAAAAACAATTTCTACACCAAACTATGCAAGCTTATGTCAGTCCTGTATAAATATTAATGGGAAATATTCATAAATATCTAATATTTAACATATTTAAGTTTTAAAAAAGTTGACATTTTGTAAAACACTGAATTTCAGTGACTGGTAACATAAATAAACTTAGCATAGAAAGTAAGTAAATTAGTGTTTGGTAGATTATTTCTTTGTAAAAATGCTTCTTGGCAATTAATCTTATACTGTTGGAAATCCTGTTAATTTCTCTTTTAAATTATGCCACATTTGTAAGGAACATGCATTTGTGGGATGAATAGTAGAGCTGAGTATGTGAGTTGTGCACATGAAAAAATTGCCAAATCTTCTCTGCCAAACAGCTGATTTTGCTGTTATTGACTCTCGCTGCCAAACAAGTGTCTGATAYAAAATTTATTATCAAGAAGCACTGCTACAACAAAGAATTAGAAAATAGAAAACAATTTGTACAAATGAATGATCAGTTTTTGATGTAATTACCTGCGGTGTCCCACAGGGCTCTGTGCTTGGTCCTAAATTGTTTCTTTTATATGTAAACGACCTGGTAAATGTGTCAAAGTTGTTCAGGTGTGTTTTATTTGCAGATGACACTACTTTCTTTTGTTCAGGTAATGATCTAAATCACATGTTTACAACGATGCAATCTGATTGTGTAAAAATACAAGAATGGTTTATGTTAAATAAATTATCACTTAATTTAGACAAAACCAACTATATGATATTTGCTAAAAGGAAATTAAAAGTAGGTGTTTCATTTAAAATTGGGGGTCTTAGAATTTCTATGGTTAGTGAAGTGAGGTTTTTTGGGGGTTATTATTGATGAAAATCTGACATGGAGACCCCATATTAASTATTTAAGAACTAAAATTGCAAAATCAATTGCAGTAACTGTATAAAGCCAAGGACATATTTAACAATAATGCATTACTTATATTATATAATGATATAGTCGTGCCACATTTGACCTATTGTGTTGAGGTCTGGGGGAGTGCGTGTAAAACATTTACAAATACACTTTTTATTTTGCAAAAAACGTGCAGTGAGAATCGTTACAAGAAAACACTTACTACCACCCTACAAATATTCTGTTTAAACATTTGGAACTGCTGAAATTTGGGGGAATTGGTAGATTATAGGATTCTGTTGATTATGTATAAGGCTCATAAAAATGTATTGCCACCTAATATACAATCCAACTTTAACAGGGGTAGTGTTTATAATTTGAATGGACTTGAAATGTTTGTAAACAAATTTGAAGGAGCGATGCACCTCTGTCCAAGGAATTAAACTGTGGAACAACATGGACAAAACCTTAAAAATGCTGGAACAATTATTCATTTGGTAGGAAGCTTAAAAGTTTTTTTAAACGAGATATGAATAATGTATTGGTTGAAATTGAGATTTCTGTTGTGATGTTGTTTTGTTGATTATTTTAAGCTACAYTGTGAAAGTTGAGTTTAATTTCTGCRTGTTGTATGTTTTGTCGATATATATTTTTAAAAATGGGGGCAGATGTGACAAGATTTTTTTCTTCTTTCTGCTCATTTTCATTTGACCATGCTGCGTTGTATTATTTTTCTTTTTGACGCAACATTATTATTATTTGTATTGTTTTAATTGATGTTCGAATGAAATAAAGT